CAAATTTGGGAAAAAAGAGGGTAATGTTTGGGGGGGGGGGGGGCGGCATAGCCTTCCCCTTGTCTTCTTGGGTTCTTTTCCCAAGCAGAAACATGTTTCCATATATCTGAGATCCTCACATTCTGCACCATACTTTTAGCAGGATTAAAATCCAAAAATAAAATCTATGGCATTTCGAACATCAAGATTTAACCCCCTAAAAATGGATCATGTTACACATGACACACCTTTAATAAAACCCATGACTCTCCATTATGCGATTGCTGACTGCTGTATATGTTTTAGGTGTTCTAACAGAATACTTTCAATTTTACAAAAATACTAAATAAAAACTCCCAACAGGGAGAGTGGAGCCCTTCACCTTCATAATGGCAATGGCAGTTATTCATGCTGTAACTTTCCGGCATCTACAAAAACTGTAAATCATCGCCTTTGGCTAGAACGGTCCTCTAATCTGCTCAGACTTCCAAGCACCATGCAGCCCAGGAAGATAACAAGGTCAAGAATGGTAAGGGAACTGGAAACATTTTCCAGTTCTATTCAGTTAGCAGAACACCAGACAGCCACTAAAACATGAAATATTGCACCTATGTATGAATTAAGAAAGATGCATTTTAAAAGCAGTTTGAGTAAGTTCAATAATCCCCTGTACATAAGCACACAGATTGGGAGATGTAGAGGTAGAAATAGCAGTCAATAAGCTATTTTGCAGGCCATGACAAGGAACATGCTGCCAGGAAGAGTGAGCAGAGTGATCAGTTCAGCCTCAACCTTTCTGCCCCTTTTCAGCTGTGGTATGTCCCTTGGCATCCTAACGTCTAATGCAAGTGAAAGGACTGTATAAAGACATAACGTCAGCGGGGCTTAGACTGCCGGAGCCTGGGGAAATAGAGGCTGAGGGAACCAGTCTAGCAGTCTAACAGGGTTGAGGATCAGGTGAGTATATTTCTTTTATTTGAGCACCTAGAGAAAAATGAGCACTTAACCCTTGCATTGGGAGGTAACCCCACTGTAGGGGTTAACTTTGTAGATTCCTGAAGTTCCTCTTTTAATAAAAGCCATATTATAAAAAGTAGATTAACAGTTGGATCATACTAAAAAAACATACCTGAGCTGTAGAGTTGATGTCTTTCCTTCTGAAGACCCCGTAGTTCAATGCAACTGCAGTATTATCATTTATAAGTTGGAGCACCTTAAGGCCGCCAAGTTTGGCAGCCTGGAGAACTGCCCGACGTTCTGCCTGATTAAAGAATGCAGGAACCGTAATTACTGCATCCTTGATGGGCTGCTCTGATAAAGCAATGGGAGGTAAAAAGAAGTTAGTATCAAAAAGATAAAGCTGAATTAGGTACATTTTACACCTATTAAAAACACAACATTCTACCCACTTAAACATTTTTCTCTAATAAAACTGCAAAAAAAATTCCCCAGGGTGGGCTTCCCTATTAAGGCAGGCATCAGCCACATTACTAGTGGATAACTAATCTTTTATGGTCATTGCAGTTTTATAGTGATTGATTTTTGTTTTGCAGATTTTACATGACCTTTGATCAAACCAATGCAGAAGTTGCTTTAGCGTAACAGATAATGAAATAGGTCATCACTGATAGGATAATAAAACTGCCCCCAAGTAGTCAAGCGGTTGCTCCACTAAATTCTTCCTGTATAGGCCGATTAGGGTCCTGCATCTCTGTTGGAATTTTAACCTGCTACTTTATGCCGAACCCCTTTCAAATCGTGTGGAGGGGTTTTTTTTTTAAGCAAGAAAATGCTCTGCTCGAACCTGCAAACTCCTCAGCCAAGGATCTGGAGTAGTTCAGCATCATTGCCAGTACTTCTTCTGGTGAATAAGTTGCTTCCCTAGAGGAAAAAAGAAGGATGAAAAAGGCTTAAATTTCACTAGACTATAATAAATTCATATAGTGTTTGTCATGAACAACTACTGTGCAAACAATTTACAACAAACTAAATAGCGCACCACTTTACACTACCGACTAGTTTCTTAGAATGTTAAGGCTCTTACGTGGAGAGAGCGCTGTAATCTAGTTCCCACGTCTACACATTTGCTTCAGTTACCCTAAAGCTGAACATACACCTATAGATTTTCTATGGTCATCTACGCTAAACTGTGTGGATGAAGGAATCTCCCGTTGGGCCAAGCTTCAGTATTTTGCCAGTCGGCCCCGCTGGCAGTCAAAATACCTGAACAATCTGATTGGATGCAGGCATTGTTCAGGTATTTTGAGAGCCAGCCGGGCCGACTAGCAAGATACTAAAGCTTGGCCCAGTGGGAGATTCCTCCATCCACACAGTTTAGCGCAGATTGAGGAATCTGTTGCACTTTTTCCATCTGACCATAGAAAATCTCCAGATAATCTATAGGTGTATGGCCAGCTTAAGACTGAACTATTTTCAGAGCGTAAGCCAGTAGATGTGGGAAGACTGCAAATTAAAAAGGTAGACAGTAACAAAGCCAAGTATTATGGCAAAGATATCTCACAAATGGGGTCCACAAAAGGACATAGGGATAGGTATTTACTAACATATCAATGTTGAGGGACGTTAGCCCTGTAGTTTAACCACTACACATATGAATGAATTGATCATTTTCTTTTGGGAAACCAAAAAATGGTTTAACATTATCACTTACTCTGATAACTTAAAAAGGGCTGTACCCCTCATTTCGTCCTTCACAATGTTGTACTGTGGAAAGTTCCTTTTAAAAGCTTCAACTTGTGGGTTCTCTGCCCCCTTCCCCAATAGATCCTGGAAAAAGCGGAACGTCACCTTAGGATTCTTAGCTGCCTGTAAGGAGATGGTCAAAAAAATAAGGCATACGTTAATAACGGTCATGTCTTAGAAATCATTTGCATATATGACAATGGCAAGACTATGCAAAAACATAAGAACACAGGATCAAATTTAAAGGACTCCTAGAAATACTGGACATACTGACACTGAATGAAACAGATTCAGTATGTGGAGAGTTGCCGTCCTTCCTTGCTCAGTGAACTAAAATGACAGCTCTCAAAGCACAGAGAAAGAAAATGCATAGCTAAGAGGCCGGGCAGTAACTACAGATCACGGGGCCCCAGAGCAAAAATGTCAAGACTCCCCGTTTGCATCTGAAGTAGTCTCTACACTTTAGTGTAGACTTTACAGGGATTAGAGTTGTCCTCAACTGCAACCACTCCTACAACCTAATGGTGCCCCTTCCACCCCAGAACAGCTGCCTGAGCTTCTATGGCTATAGTTACGCCTCTGGTAAGAAGTTACATTTGCAAATCTGCTCAGTATCTATACATATTTTAAAAGAAATTCCTTTAAAAAATACAGTTACCCTTAATGAAAATCAAAGGTTTTTTTGTTATTTTTTAATTAGGAACCGGTTTCATTATCAGTTAAAATACGCTGAACAAAAGAAGTCACAACAGTTCAAATATAAACAAGCAAAACTGTTCCAGAATGGGAAAAATTGGGAATGTGAAAAAAACAGAAGTGTGTTAGTGGTCAGTATATGCAGTAGAATGTGGTGTGTATGACAGAAGGATTGTGTGAAAAAAAGAGCAGAGGGTATGACAATGGGCAGTATGTGCAGAACAGGTGTATGGAGGGTATGACAATAGGCAGTATGTGCAGTAGAGGAGTCTGGAGAGTATGACAGGAGGCAGTATGCGAGGGAGAAAATTGTGAAGGTATGACAGCAGGTATTCAGAGCAGGAGAACAATGTGGAGGGTGTGACAGCGGACAGAACTGTAAATGTTTTGACTCACAAATGATGTGGTGTAGAGGTAAAAGATTTGCGTCCAGGAAATGGGTTATTATCAGACAGTGAAGGTGGTGGGGGATCGTCTAATCAGCACTGCAGTCTGTGGAGGCGGAGGGAAGGATACTTAAACAGGAGCAGTGCGTCAGTGGAACTGGGGATAATGAAGGTTGAAAAGGAGACAACAGGATAATATGTATATGCTGGGCACTGAATGAATAATGTGCACACACACTGATTATTCATCACTGAGGGTGGTCGATGTACACAATCTTAAAGTAGATCACACTGCAGACAGGTCACTGAGGGGTAGCAATGATAAACTGGAGTGAGAAGTTAATGCTTTTTTAGGGTCAGGCAATCACTTAGACATTAATGCTTGTGTAAAGCTGGCTAGCGCGCTTGGTGTACTTGAGGGGCATCTTACTGCTAAGATGGATACTAGGGAGCTACGTTTGTGTGCTGGGGGTAGGATATAAGTGAGAGACCACTGTCCTAACATACGCACACAACCCCGGGCTACACAATAGTAAGTAACCATAAAAGTGATTTCTGCCGGGGTTGAGTGGACTGAGACCGCTGCAGAAGGGAGTTAGAAAAACTGAGCGTTGAACCACCAAACTGTGTCTCTGAGATCACTGTGCAATCTGTATGAGAAGGACATGGACACTGTTCAATAGGTAATTTGTTTGGTGGGAGTGTGTACTAGAGGAGAGGTATAGGGCAAAGACCAAGGTAGGTGGGTAGGTGTGTGTTGGAGGTGGGATCCCCCTGGGGGGGCTGGGGGGAGAATCACAATTGGGGGAATTTATTAAAACTGGAGCAGACAGGATCTGCAGCAGTTGCACATAATGACCAATCACCTTTTCTTTTCAGTTTCTTCAGTTAAGCTCTGTAAATAAAAGAACCTGATTGGTTGCCATACACAGCTGTTCCAGATTCTGTCTGCACCAGTTACAATAAAATTCCCTCACTGTGTGTGCTGGAAGTGGGTTCTCACTGGTGAAAGACCAATCTGGGTGCTGGAGGTGTGATGCTACTGCAGAAGGACCAGGAAGAGGCCGACTTAAATAGTTGCAAAGTTAAAGTAGAAATTTGAAAATTTAGGATAAGAGAAGTGGAACCATTAATAAAGATTCTGTGCTAAATGTCTATCGCTATTTTAGAATGCACATTAGTATACAAAACATAGGAAGAACAAACTCACCATCCCTGTAGCACTATCTCCAAAGAGGCGTTCATCATCTTTCAAAGTGACAGCAAAAGGGGTTTTCCTCCTCGATTCCCTAAAGAGAAATATAGTGCAAAATAAGGAGAACTGTAATAAAAAGTAAATGTTTTACAAAATTCCTCTAGTCCAAAGGATAGCTGCAACTTATTAGCTTATGTGTGCTTAAGACCTGGCTAGTAGCTCAGGACTTGAAATTCTGAGCCCTGGGTTAGATGATGCTGCTGCATGTTCTTCAGCTACAAAATGAGGCAGACCTTGACTTGCTGCATCCACTAAAGCACTCAGAGAGGCTCACAGTGTGCAGTGGAATCCAAATAAGCGTTGCCTCAAGGCATGTTACCACCTTATGTACAGTTATTGCGTTGTAGTGCCTCTCATTTTAAATGTCACCCCAACGGCAAAGCAGCTCCAACGCAAACACGTGTTGCAGCACAATACATAGCAACGCACAACTGGCGGTTCCTCCTCCCGCACTGATCTTTCTAAACACAAAAGCAGACTTTGTAAGAGGTGGAAAGACTAAATAAAATAAGTGAAATCCTTATTCTCACCTCACACAAGCCGGACATAATGCCTTTATTGTCTACGATTTATCCTTGTCCTCAAACTTTAAAAAAAACAAACAAACATCTGACCAAAAACCAAAACCCACATTTACGTTAAAGGAACCTGTACTGAGAAAGTATGGCAGCTACTAACTTCTCCTGTTTTCCACCTGCTGTTCTAATCCAGTAGCTTTGCTACATTAAGTCACATATCCAGAACAAGTAAATCAGGAGATCCGACTTTCCTGTTCTTTGTACTTGTTCTAGGTGAGTGACTCAAAAGTACTGAAGCCAGAAATAGCTAGGCCAGGACAACAAAGGCTCATTGATTCTGCTCATTGTGAGACCACAACGCAGGAGTTTTAAAAAGACAAAGTGAGAGGGTCCATTTAAAGCCCATCTACCACCCACCTTATAGTAACCTTCACAGCGCTCACTTGCTTCACCATCCATGGCTGCTACTGCAAAAATGATCAATGTTGGAGCAGAGAGGTCATCCCCTTCATTAGGTGACAGTGCTCGGGGCTACTGCATGTCGATAGCCCAAGCACTGCATAATGGATGGAGGTTACTTGTTGCCCCATATCTAAAAACACTAGGTAATTTGTGGTGGCAGCCATGGAAGAAGGAGTAGAAGGGGGAGCAACGTGAAGGAGAGTATAAGGTGACCAGGAGAGGAGTGGGCTTTAAAAAGAGACCCCATCATTTTGGCCAGAAAATAATTGAAAATTTTATAATTCATAGATAAAAACGCATCATCACCACAAAGACCCATGAAATACAACAAGAGCTTTTAGACATTTTTTTAGCCATTCAGTATGAGAAAACAGTTACCTTCATATACACAATTTATGCTCTACAGTGCTAAAGGTAACCTATAGTACTGATATAGTCAATAAGTAGAAAGTATTCTTTTCCCATTCCCAATTACATTAAAAAGTAACTTACTTGTTTAAGACAATTTCCATAGGAACTCCTGGCTTGACTATAGCAATTTTCAACCATTCACAGCCCAGATCCACAGACATGACTGCCACGGACTCTATAAACATAATACAGAAGCACAAAATGGGGTATTGAGCAGAAAATCTTTAGAAAGAATTCTAACTCATGCAAATGCAACATCCAAATTTAGTAACATTTACTTAAATTATTATATAAAGACAGTTATAAAGAGTTGGTTGGAGTTTTAACTTTAATTATGACTTTAGGTCACATTTGCTAATGTAGTTTTCAATTACCACAAACTGTCTATACTTCTGCCACCCGCGTGGTAGCAATGTACAATTACTTTACCCTCCTGTTCTTGTCAGTGCAAATTCACTTAAAAGGCAAGTCTGACCTGCACCACCTTGGATATTTAAAGAAATGTCTGAAAGCGTGCCCAGTATGTTTTTTAGCAATGTTGACAGATGCATTGTCTATATGTTATTTGGATATATTCTTCAACAAATTATGGGTCCTTGTTTTCCGATACAGAAAGACTCCCTGCAGCGAACGATATGACTTATAAAACTTTTGCTTGCCCAAGAGCTCATTAAAGTCGAACGTTGCATAAAATATACAAATTGCAAACAAGCAGGCTTTTTTTATTGCAAATGAGACATACTGTGGCGTAGCTTTACTAAAGAAAAAACGGTTGCTCACTTTACTAGGAAATTTTCACTCTGATTAGTGAATGTGGTGAAAATTCACTTTGCGAAGAATAACCAACCAATCACATGCAAGGAAAAAAAATAAATAAAACAAACTGTATTCTTGCTTGCACATGATCGGATGATGAAAGTCAACAAACCTTCACCTCATTTATTGCGTTAATGGAAAAATTCCCTTGCAAAGTGAACATCCAACCTCAGCATATCAACGTTTGTCTACACAGATCCTAAATCTAACTCTGCTTCTCAAAATTCTTTAAAGTGGCACAAACCAGGGCAGTTCTATAGGAGCATATGGTGACATAAAAATGACCTAAGAGTTTACCTTAGGAAACTGTATAACAAACCAATCACTAGTAATCTGCAAATCTTTACTTTTCCTGTAAAGTCACGCCTGGCTTCAACCCCTCCAGTCTCACCAGGATCATCTACACCTCTATCACCTCTGTAATAGGCAGCTTCATTGACAATAGCGAGACTTGGAAAATGGGTGTAGCTAAGCTCAACTGCTACTACAAAAGCCAATATTTGCATACAACGATGGATTTGATTGTTTTGGCATGCAGTGTTCATTAAAGAGAACACAAGCTGGGGAGACATATTAAGGCCAACATTGCCCACTGCAGACCTTTCATTCTGAAAATGCTGGCTGCATAGTATTGCTGCTGATCCAATGACTAAGATTTTTAGAGCCACCGACCTAAAGAAAGTAGATGGATCAGAAGTTCTGACTTTAGTCTGCTGCATATTTTCCGAAAGATTTACATGAGAGGGCCAGCATGTGTGCCTACATATTTATTCCCAACACACATTGCCAGTTCACATATTTCTCATGCTTAGTTTGAACTGCCCGGGCTTGCAACAGATTTATTTGAATCACACATGTACTTAACCCAAGCAGGGAAAAGCAACAGGTTTGCTCTACTCCCTTTTTTTCACAAAATCATCTTACCTTTACTCCTCCTCTGTAAGCTTGGAGTTGCTCCAGTTGGAGCTTACACAGGGCTGAAGACTGAAGTGACAGTGATGAACCAATACAAAGCATCATCGCTGTCATGCGAGAGGAAGGGGAGTAAGTATAAAGTCACTCGCAGTCCAATAGAATTTCAAGTCAAAAACGGATTGACTCGATTGCGATCACATCGTATAGCGACGTTTCGGAACAGCAGTTCCTTCTTCAGGCAAACAGAATGCGAACCACCACAGTACAAGGGCAGATATATGTACATGGTGAGAAAGACATAGACTATAGCATTCATTGAATGCAATGAGGAAGAGAGGTGACAACACTTAGAAACTGCTGATTTACACAGAAAATTACAAACACAATCTTACCTGTCTGAGAAGGCAAGAAATCAACCAAGAGAAACAGGAAGAGTACTCCTGCAGTCCTCACGGCAAGCCCCATCTTTCTGTGTTCTCTGCACAGTCCGATGTGCACCTGAATACAAAGAAAACACATTCAGTAAACCATCGACATACCAGTTTGTGCTAAAACACGCCTATAATGTTTTAGAGATTCCCACCGACTAATTCTTTATCAGCTACTTCTCTAGTTTTTAACATCTTATCAGACCACAGAGTTTATATGCTGTGCACTGGTTGTAATAAAAACAAAAAAAAGCCTACGGTACTAATGCAAGATGCATAAACATTGTACTAGGGTTTCAGGGATGGTAAAATAAATAAATACAGGTTGGCAAGCAGACTCAAACTTGTCATGTACATGACCTAGAAAGATCACTGAAACAAATAAACCGACCTTTCATAACTATAGTTCTGTTGAGCCCTGCGGTTCCTCCAGAGCCTGCTATGGATTTCATGAGCTGTGGCCCACCTGATGGCACCGGCATAGTTCTAGCAATTCAGCAGAGTCAGTGGAATAGGACAAGTCAAGTGTCTCCTATTGTCTCTTTGATATATACACTATTATGCCACATTCATATTTATTATAACTTTTAGAAGTAAAAGATATATACATATTAGCAGGAGTGCCCTAAGACGAAGATTATTCCAAGGATTTCTCTGGCAAGTTTAAGAAAGGCTGAACTAAAAAACAACTCTAATGTATTCTGATGCAACATGTTCCATTATTTCAGCCCATAAACAAGTGATAGCATGTCTTTGGATCCATGAAGGCAGAGTATCAGAGAAAACCACTCAAATTATGAAACCATTCATATTTAAAAGACCTCTCAACTTAGTATTCTTAGTCTCCCAGTCTCCAGTCTGTGACAAGTATTTCCTACAAGTAACACTGCCTGCAGCATACATCTTCCACTGAGCAGTCCTGGAGTATGCTACTTACCAAATTATAGCCCCCGAAACAGCAGACTTAAGCTGATAAACCTAGTAAATCATCATCACTCACCAGAATGTAGTTGTGGCATAACTGCCAGGTGAAATGAAGTCTAATGTACACCAACAGGAATCAGATGGTGATCAGAAACCTTCAAGCAATGCTATGATATCAATCAGCTCCTAAATCCTGACCAAAGCACAACCCCAAGCTAACACAAAAGGCTACAGAGGAAGTAAATGGTTCTTTTAACATAGCGGAAGGCTAGAACCCCTGCAATTTTGTTATGGCTGTGTGTGTCTGGGGCAAATTTCTCCTCGCTTACTATCTGGTAGAACAGTTGTCACAGTGGAAGTGAGGGCAAACCTCATGGAGGCCTGGTTCACAAAGGCAGCCGAGGGGTGGTAAAAACCAGACAAATCTGAGTTTTTACTGGTCCTTGACTGCCCACCTAAAACTTAACACAGCCATTGCTCAACTTTGTACACATGAAACGGCTGCAATGCTTTGCAGCAAATTGAAACCAGCATGTCAACTTTGGCAGGAGGTACCACTTGCTAAACAGGACCATTGAAATCCATGGGAGTGCAAAGCAAATGCCTGAGCACATGGTTGCAGTGCAGTATTGTAATAGAAAATCCTCATTGGGATAAGATGAAAAAATAAAAAAGGGAAGCAAAACACAGCAGAGGTGGCAGCATTGCCTCCTGAACACCAGGCAGGTGCTGCCTTAACGCCCTCTGTAAACAATTCACTTCAGAGAGGATTTCAGAGAGGTGGTGGAGCCTGCCGTCTGTCTGAAGGAAGTCTATCAGAGCCCTGGAAAGCAGTAAAAACAAGACAGGGAATCCTAACTTTCTTAACATCATCTAAAACAAAATGTTTTTGGCTTGAAATACATTTGAGCTCCAAGATGGACCACAATGTTACCCATAATGCGCAAGTTTGGTTGGCATTACATTTCAAAGGGTATCAGGAGTACATAACCAAAAAGTACACATGCATTATCATACTACCTTGTGGCCTTCTCAACTGGGCAGGCTTACTGTACTTTGGAGAAGCTACAACCGGAATCGCATGCCAGCTGCATTGTTTACATTCAGATTATCTGCATTTACAATGCAATTATAGATGAGATTTTATAAGAAAAGGAATCTGCTACACAAAACTGTTTCATTCAATGTGTCCAGTGCCAAGATCATACAGTATCAAGAAATTAAAAAATACAATCAGAAACTATAAAACTATATCCCATTTAGAGCCATCCTCTAAATTTATTTTAGACAAAGCTAGACAAAGTACTTTGATGTGCCATAAGATCATGTCTTTGTAATTCACTGCACGGAACACGTAGGGAGGGTCTACACCCAGGCTCCCACACATTGTAGAGTGCCAACAAGCTTACACTGGGAGCATGCCAACAGGAGGAGAGAACACAGTGATGACTTTGCCCATCATGGCCCAGTCATACACTGCGGCCAGCCCTTTACCAAGCTGTACTGCTTAACTGCAGAAAGAAAAGCCAGAAACCTGGCTCTGCTGGCTGGCTGGGGTGCCTGGATCAAAGGACTGGATAGACACAAATGTTTTGGTAAGACAATAGAGATCTAGATTTCAACAGTGTATTTAAATGGCTGAAGTTCATCTCTGATGCCAGAGTTCCGGCAGCTGTCTCCTGCTCACCCTTACTACACTGATTGCAAACTTCCCCACAATTCACACCAATTACTCTACTCCCTCATTACATAAAGTGATGTTATACATTAATATGCCTCAAAGCTCAAATTAAGTTATCAAAATAGCCAGTTTGGTAAACTTTGTGCCAACATCCTCCATTTTCATATCTCCCTCCGCTTTGCCTTTATATCCAATGCACAGTGCATCTAAGGGCTTGTGTGCCGTTGCCGCTTGATTGCAGGTCAGAAGGAGGTCAATTGCAAGTCAAATGCACCTATCGATTCAAAATGATCTCAGAAGTGTCCAACACGGATGTCAAAATGAAACCAACAACATGGGCCCAAAGTGTGTAGGCATAGGCCCCAAATGTGACTGGGCAATCCAGCTGGCACAGGAGTTTGACCACACTGCCTGACTGCACTCTAACTGACCGGGTCAAACCCACTCCCTCGCTTTCTCCGCACTCTGTGTGACCAACACTTGTGATGTGTTGTGGCTGTTATTCATCTATGCCAGCATATAGCACTGGAAACCCATTTCCAGTAAGAAAACAAAATGTAAAAAAAATCTAAAAATCATAATATACAGGGCTACATGACTATGAAGAAAAGAAAAAAAAACAAAAAACACCATACATCAAGTGGGCTACTGCAGCTAAAGAAGTGGCTATTCATTAAAGCTGAACTGAGGAAAAGAAAAAAAAATGCCTGCACTGCAAGCGTTAAATGTTTGTTTATGTATCGGGGACAGGAAAAAGGGCTTTTACTTACCTGATCCCTGGCTGCTGACCCCCATTCCGATGCTTCAGGCTGTTGGCGGTCCTTCAAAGTCTTCCTTTACATAGCAGTACTATTGGCCCTGCATTGTACCTGCGATCGGCATAGTACCGTAGAGAATAGACTGCAGGGGGCCAATCGCATAGTGTGGAGGGAGCTGGCGGGATTGAAGATCAGATAAGTGAAAGGCCTTTTTCCCATCCCCGAGGCATAAACAATCCTTTAATCCTTGCAGTGCAGGGGGAGAACGGAAAACATGACAACACGCTTAGGTGTAAACAGACAATAATAAGATTCTTCATGATGAGCGCTGTTGCGCTTTGGGAAATGTTATAAAGCGCTCAGCTGTGAATAAGGGTTAAAGTGACAAAACCTTTCGCTATTTATGCCTTACATGTATCTGCACAATAGTATTCTCTAAAGCCGTGCTCATATAGGTTTTAATATAAAATCTGACTACTTTTATCGTTTTATAAAGTCTTCACTGTGTCTCCGATTGCTCTTCTTTCCATTCAGGCTTGCAGTCACCTAGCAAGGTACGTGCACGTTCTTTGTGGTTATGTGCACTGCTTTTTCTGCCTGTGAGGAAGAGAGGGAACATCTCACACTCCACTATTCACTGGCGGCTCCTCCCCCTTCCCTCCTCCACACTAAACGCGCTGTAATGTGAGTTTCATCGATTGTAATCTTCTCTGCAATGCTCTGAATTACCCAGAATACTTACAACAGCTTCACAACAAAATTACAACTTTATTACAAATGTAGGAGCTGTACCCTCTGTGACAGTGTGACCAGATTCAGCATGTGAGCTGAGACTCAGAAGAAAGTATGAGGCTGGTGACAGCTCAGATGCTGAATCTCCTCAGAAAGTTTGTGATAAAAGGCTGCGATCACAACTGCCCCTTTGGGAAGCCAGGAGGAATGAAATCAAAGATCGTATATTAGTTTGGAGAGTAACATACCTTGCTGCTGGAGAAATCCAAGCTCCTTGCAGAAGTTACAGAGTCTAGAGGGGAGGAATTGTGGGCAGAGACTGAGCAGAGAGGGGGAATCAGAAGACGAGTCCTCACCTCAGTTCTCATCAGGAGTGAGCTTGGAGTGGTGGCTACTAAAGCTGCGGCGAACGATTATTTTCAAAATCGATTAGTTAGCCGATTAAGAAGTTTGATTAATCGGTTAAAAAAATAAAATTGATTTTTAAAAAATGGCTCCAGTGATGGACTACTAATTTGTATTGAGATTGCAGTCCATCACAGGAGCAAGCTTGGAGCGGTGGAAGTAAAAAAGAAAAAAAAAAAAAAGTGTGGTGTGCAATATAGTGAAATGGAAAGTGTAAAATTACACAGCAATCAATGCAGAATGGCACTGGCTATAGAGGACTACAAATCCCAGCAATACATTATACAGCACAATGCAGCATGGCACCGGCTATAGAGGAATACAACAAATCCCAGCAATAGTACATTATAGCTGGCGGTATTCTGCATTGCGCTGTATAATGTACTATTGCTGGGTTTTGTAGTCCTCTATAGCTGGTGGTATTCTGCATTGCTTTGTATAACATACAGCACAATGTACCATCAGCTATAGAGGAATACAAATCCTAGCCCCTGCGCCGATCATGGATGTGGGCGGACATGAGCATGAGGCGAGGAGGAGGTGCGGCGCGTGGATGCCGGCGGGTCTGGCAGCGGCGAGCGTGAGGTGGGTAGGAGGTGCGGCATGTGTGGAGCTGTGAACAGGGCCAACTAATCGGAAGCCGATTAATCGATGATTGAAAACGTTGACATCTTTTTCAATAATCCATTTAGTCGATTAGTTGTTGCAGCCCTAGTGGCTACTTTTCAGCACATACAGGGGCCATGGGAAAGAGAAGTCGTCACCTTTCAGAAGGAAATGGAGTCTCAAAAAAAACAACGTGATTTTTGGATCATTTAAAAGAGGACGAAAAATGAAGGTATTTGATCATTTGTTTATATAATATAACTTATTATTTTTATTATTTGAGGTCTGAGTTTAGTGTCGCTTTAACAATGAAAGAGAATTCATTGAGAACATAATAGAATGAGAAAGATGACATATCAGCCCAAAGCTCTTCTGTAGGATAAATAGTCACCACGACTAGAGATGGCTCTTATCTACCACAATCCCTCAGATCTAAGGGTCACCATACACACAATCAGCTCTAGATTTACCAAAACTATGTAACATGAGGACCTACATAATCTGCCAATCAGTCTGTATTTAGTCAGGCAAGCCCTCATACTACATAGGTGTTGGTAGATCTGCATGGAGTTTGCATGTTCTCCCTGTGCGGGTGGGGTTTCCTCCCACACTCCAAAGACATGCTGGAAGTTTTTTTTGGCTCTGGTCTATAGCTGGCCCTGCACGTGTGTGTACAATAGGGACCTTGTAAGCGCCTGGAGGGCAGGGACTGATGTGAATGTGACAATGCAAATCATCTGCGCTATATAAATACCTGTAATAAATAAAAAAATTAATCAAACTAAAAGAGACAATACAATCAGATTGTAACGTGTGTGTGTGTGTGTGTGTGTGTGCGTGCGCGCGTGTGCTGAGCATAAGGCTGACCATGCACTATTCAATCTGATTGTACAATCTCCATCAGAGCCAGGTCCTGGCTAGTTTAATGCTAATGAAATGGATTGTTTAGGTTGGTGAACAAATTACAGTTTTGGGAAATGTATAGCAGATTGTACAGATCATACAGTGTATGGCCAGCTTTCCACACACCAAACACACATTACAATCTAAATTGTACAATCACCTTTAGATCTACTGAGAGAGATGTAATGCAAGGACCCAATTGACTGGATCTAAGTTGCACAGATAGATTAGGTAGTTGCTCATAGGACATAGTCTTGGTAAATCCCAAATTGATTGTACAGTCAGATTGTAATGTGTATGGTGACCCCCTGAGAATGACACGTTCAGCCCAAAATGTGACAGGTGTCAGTGGGAGGTGTTACCTGGAGAAATCAGTCTCCATAGACATGCAGCTACGAAGGAGAAGCAGACAGGAACTCACAGTAAAGTAATGTAACACATCACACTATTCTACATATAGAACAATGTCATCGCTATAGGCCTACCCTGCTCTAGCGTCCCACCCCCGCACCCTGTGTTCTCTGACATTACCCCTTCTGTATGAAGCGTGCCTCTCGGTGTCTCTCCCGTGTGTGCTACGCACAGCCGCTCCGAGCCGGACTACACCACACGGACTTACCTAGAGCTTCGACTCCACTCACTCGCGCACAAACCGGAACGCGGCGAGAGTTGATTGGCTAGTTTACCGGCAGCTGCTACGTCATCCGAGCGCGAACCCTGACCAATCAGACTTCAGAGGATTCCCCGGCTGTCAGCTTCTATTGGTCCACGTGTGTGAGAGACGCGTATTGGTCCACGCTGCGGTGACGGCTACTGTGAGCAGTCACCCTTCTCCTGCACGGGGGGTTCGGGGGATTGTATGGAGGAGTCATCGCTTTATGATTACCATCTCTAGAGCTTACGAAACAGCCTGAAATAATGGTGGTGGGGGGTGTAGAGATTTTTTTATTATTTAAAGGCAATGTACATTAAAATTACAAACAGACAAAATTCTTCATGTGTACAATGATCGTCTACGATGATGTGTTTCTCATTTATAGCTATTATAACAGCATGTTTGTCCCAGTTCATACAATTACGTTCTATGAACGTGCATCAAAAACGTGGCCTGGTTCACACCTGAGCATATTTTTGGCGTTTCGACGCATAAGTCAATGCATTCCAATGTGAAACATTCACGCCTGTGCATTCATACACGCAACAAAAGAAAAGGTACATGCACGATTTTCTGGGAGATTGTTGCATGTTCTAATCGTGGTTGTAGCGGCAAACGTGTTCATTAAAATGTGCATGTTTTGTGAGCCGCTGTCACAGCAGCAGGGTCGAGCAGTGAGGAGAGAGAGAGCCGCTCTTTTGCCTTTAGTACTCTTATGGGTCACAGCCTGTACATTAGTAAGTGTACTCCTGTGATCCAAAGTCAGCATATAACAGGCTACTGCCCAATATATACTGGCTGCGCAGAGGTGCGCTGCGTCTGAGACCTTATTGTCGGGATCTTTTCCGGCCCGCAGCGTAACTTTTTGCAGCCCGCTGCCTGACTGACACTTGACTCTTCCTCTCTAGAGCCAGCTATGCCCACCCCCTTCCCTGGCTGTCCCTCCAGCGAGCGCTGCAGAGGGAGGGGGAAATCCCTGTGGAGAGTGGTGACTGACAGTCACGGCTCTCTGCAGGGAGAAGCATGAGCCGAGTGATCAGCGGTTTGAGATCGCTCAGTTCTCAAGCTATAATGTCGGCATGTGACAGCTGCAGTGTCACATTAAGTTTGTGAACTGAGATACCACTGTATTTTACTCTCCCGATAGCTTTCCTTTAAGCACGCTGCAACAACACATTGGAGAGAAATCGTCTGCCTTTACATCATCCTTCATTTCTAAGATCAAAGAGGTTTACTATCCATGGGAAGTGTACAGGTGTTTCAAAGAATTATGCAACCATTTACAGGAGGCAATCCAACCAGTATTTTGCAAATGGAAAAAATCATTAGTAACTATTATAACTACAATAAAAATAACAAAGTGTTAGTAACATGCCAAACTTAAGGAAAAGCTAAGATTGTGCTATTAACTATGTGATTTGCAATTATTTTTAATTAAAAATAAAAGCAATAAAAGAAGCACAAGTGAGGGATGGTATAGGAAGGAACAAAAGAGAGACCAGAATGGGAAGGAGGGGACGGGGAGGCCTTTTACGACTCAGTCTATGCTTGGCAAAAGTGTAGACTGAGTGGTAAAAGGCCAAAGCATTTCAGTTTGTTCCCCTAATACAATAGAACTTACATCACATTGATCTCATGGAAGCAAGGAGGCACCCCTACATGTGTAGGGCGGAGCTTGTGACGCAGAGAGGTGGGTGGGACAGCCAGAGGAAGATTGGATCCGGTTCAGCTTATCCACTTGAAGCACTTGAAGAGCGGGGTGTAAAACCGCCTTCCTGTCCAGGCCATTTTCCATATTGAGCGCTGAGGTAATTTGACAGACATTTATTAAGTCATGCAGCACTGTACTGAAAGGATTTTTATACCATTTTTTGGGGACACACAGAGCTTTCTTTTGGTGGCATTTAATCACCACTAGGGTTTTTTTTTTACTATATAACAAGAAAAGTACCAAAAATCTTGGAAAAAAAACCTGTTTGCCTATGTTATGAAACATTTATTATCACCCAATTTTTGGGTAAATTATAAAAGACGGGGTCACGTCGGGTAAATAGACACAAAACATGTCCAGCCTTAAAGGAGAACTATGAGATGAGTGATTTCCACTCACTTCATAGTTCTAGCCGACCTGTGACAATGAGACTGTCACAGGTCGGCTCAGTAGATCGGGAGGTGAGCGAACACATACTGGGTTCGCTCACCTCTCGATCCTGTCACGGCTCTCTGCCGTGACAGGGGAAGGGGCTGGATTCCCCCCTCCCCGCTCCGATCCTCCAGCGCTGACTGGCTGAACGGACGGGGGAGGGGGCGGGTACAGCTGGCTCTGCCTCTAGATAGGCAGAGCCAGCTGTCACTCACGCAGCTGGGCGGGAGGACGCTAGTTTGTGTCCTCCAGTTACCCTAAGGAGAACTATGGGGAAAAACACTGACCCCATAGTTCTCCTTTAAAGTTGCACATGCCCTCAATATCGCAAAAAACTACCACACCTAAAATTGTCCATAGGCGACGCTTTAAAAGCTTTTACTGCTCATCAGTTTAGTCTTATCAGTGATTAATGGCCCTAAAATTATTACTCTCACTCCCACGTTTGCAATGATATGTAATATGTGCGGCACGTAGGCGCACCCTATGCATGTTTGCGTGTGTATGTGGGGGCGGGGGACTTTTACATTTGTTTTATTTTATTTTTTTTAAATGTATATGTGATTTTTTTTTTTTTAATGCTTCTTTCATTTTTGTAAAACTTTTGTTTTATTTTACACTTCATTTTATTGCTATCACATAGGGGGCTAAGAAGCTGCCGGAACACTTGTATTTAAACAGCCATCGCCGGTTGTTTGGATTGAAGGTAGTTTTCTCACTCGTGCATGCGCTAGACGTCTTAAAACACCTACCCTCATCTACAAGGCTCCCTTCTGGCTGTGTAGGTATGGCCGCTGGATGGTAGGTGGTTAAGGTGGTGTTCCTTCCCATCCCATATCACAACAGTTTTCTGTAGTACAGTTGGACATTTATGGTTTTATGTGAATAGCATTCTAAAAAAAGATTTTATGTGTTTCTTTACAGTGTACACTATGGCCTGTATTTCTTTTTATATGGGACTGAGATAATACGGCATCTGGCTTCCTGGGAACATCTGTATGGTCAGATAGGAGGATTATAACCAGTGGACTTCATTAAGGGTAAATCCCAGCCCGGATCTACAACAAAGGGAGAAACAGTGTTCTTCAGACCTATTGGGTGTTCACACGGTGGTCATCATTTGGTGGTGGAATGACTCCAGATTATTTGTGGCTATTTCTATTTGGTCTGATTTTTGTATTGCTATATATATGAACTTTTATACGCTGAGGTTGTGGATGGGATTCCCGATTGGCCGGGAAGCCGGCTCTATGCTGTTTGGCCGGCTCGATGCTGACTTGCTGAGAAGACGGTTTCCCGACCAATCAGCATTGAGCCGGCCAAAGTGCATGAAGCTGGCTTCCCAAGCAATCAAGAAGCCGGGTGGCGTGTCATTACCCTCTGCCTAGCTTTTTGATTGCCTGGGAAGCCGGCTCCATGCTAGCGGAAGTACCGGTATCTGCGAGTACCGAAATATAAATATCGGTACTCGATACCGAAAAAACAGTACCGGTACATCCCTAGTTTGAAATCCTAATAGGTTGTACTACATCATGACTAGCTTCACTGAAAAAAGTATGGGAAGGGAACAAGGTGGGAGGAGCCAGGAGAGAATGGGAATTGCTGGGAGGTGAGGCAGACTTCAGGCTGCAGGGGAGGACAGAAGATTATATTCGTCATGCTGGGCGGGAACAAAGCTGACGTCATTGGTTGGATTTGGCTGCCGTAATGTCCAGCGCTTCCTCTGGACCTCAAGGCAGGCTAATGGGGACCTAAATCTAGAAAAGATTGTACTTTGGTCTTTTGATTGATCCTCTGGGCTGCTATTAAATTAACTCTCTATTTGGTCCAGGGATAATGAGGATGAGCAAAGTGTTAAAAGACAAACATAGATATCTGGACCCACATTCAACGCATTGATAGAAAACAGTTTTGTGTTACGGAAGGCTGGCTTTAGGATGCGCATTGTCCTTGGTTGCAGTTATGATTTGACTCTATAAGCTATGGTGCATGATCTAAAGAGTGGGCTTTTGTGTGACCTTAGGGATTGTCCCACGAAAAGCAGAAACAATCTGTAAGCAGGTGCCAGCCTTGAGGGTCATCCATCACCTAGATGCTTATTTAGGACACCATAGGTGGTAGCTCAGAAATTACCAAAAGATTAACTAAACTGTTAATTTAGCTGGTCTGGTTTAAAACTAGGGATGCACTGATACCTTTTTTTTGGTATCGAGTAGGAGTACCGATATTTTTTTTTCTGATTGGCTAGGAAGCTGGCTTCACTTGTTGCTAGTCTGCCTGGCTTCCTGATCAATCAGGATGCCGGGAGGTGGGTCATGACTTGCTATCCGGCTTCCTGATTGGAAAGGAAGACAGCTCCATGCTCCTTCGGCTCTGACCGGAAGTTCCAGTATCGGAGAAAAGTATTGGAGCATTTGGGGCAGTACAAGTACTCATCCAAATACTCAGTAAAATA